GTGCAGGGACCCTGGGGTCTCCGTGGGGTCCCCGGGGGTCTCCTTGGTGTGCGCAGGGACTCTGGGGTCACCATGAGACCTCGTGGGGCTGAGCCCACCCGCTGCCCCTCACACTGAGCGGGAGCTGCCCCGCCCCCCCTGCAGCTGGGGGTAATCGGGGTTAATTGCGGCTCTAATGAGGTGTGAAAGGGTTATTTCCTGTGGGATGAGCAGAGGGGCAGGGATGGGGACAGTGGTGCCACTGGACTCGGCTGTAGCCTGCTCCGCTCCCGTGTCTGCACCCACGTCCCCGTGGCGGGGGACACAGGATGGCTGGGGGGGGACCCTCCCCGTGCTCGGGGTCCCGAGGTGGGGGCTGTGCCCGGGGGCAGCTCGGGGCACACCGAGGCCTCACCAGAAACCGTGGTGGGTCCGTGTCCCCAGGCAGGGGGCGAGGCCAGGACGGGGGGAATGGGGCAGGGATCTGTGGCGGTGGGCTCGGGGGGACAGGGGCCCTGGCAGGGACGATGCCGATGCTGGGGACAGGCAGAGCCCGGGGGCGTGCCAGTGTCCCAGAGTGTGTGCCAGTGCCCCACAGAGTGCTGGTGCCCCACAGAGTGCCGGTGCCGCGGCGGCAGAGCCGGCTGTGCAGTGGCACTCAGTCCACGGGCACGTGGTGCCCCTGGGCTCTCATTTCTCGCTCCCGCCCTCGCCCCCACGCCAGGCTGTGCAGCACGAAGCTGCCCCAGGCCCCCGGCTCTGGGAAGGGTCCGGATCTTTCCCACCGAGGCACCTAATCCCTAAAACGAATGAGCACCGGGAGAGGGGCAGCGCTGCGCCAAATCGGGGCTGGGGGAGCGGGGAGGGGACGCACCTGCACCCGGGATCCCACGGATTCTGGGAGTGAGGTTTCCATCGGTGGCTCTGCCACCTCAACGCCCCCCCCCCCGGGCCCGTTCTGCTGCCGCCAGATGTGGCGCCGTGCCGAGGGCCCGAACACTGGCAGCTCTGTGCGCTCCCAGCGACCCGCAGCCATGACCAATGCGGGGATCTCCGGCTCTGCCCCGCGGCCCCAGGGCACAGCGCCGGCAGCTGCTCCCGCCTCCGAGCGGCCGCTTCCTAGGAAAAACCCTTTTTTTTTCCTTTTTTTCCCCCCCCCCTTTTTTTTTCACGAGATCCCCCGCCTTTTTTTCCACATGGCGAAGGGACAAGACACCCCGCGGGGAGAAGATGGATTTATTAAATATTTGGCGGATGACAGAACATGGCTCCCCGCTCGCAAGGGCTGCTCTTGGAGACGTTCCCCGCGCTTACGGCATCGGCTCCGCCAGCTGCTCCCAGGGACAATCCCGCTCCCAGGGACAATCCCACTCGCTCCCGCGCTCCTCCGTGCCCACAGGAATAGGGAATGGCACTGCAGCTTGGTGCACCCCCCGGGGACACTCCGGCTGCACGGGCACAGCCGGGCCTTGGGGATCCACGTGTGTGCCAGGGATGGCACGAGCAGCCAAGGCCACCACTGTCCCTGTGCATGGCACCAACAGACCGGCTGGGGAGGGACCCCGTGTGGCTCCCATCCCTGTTCCCTGCCCCATGGGAAGGGGGGTGTCCCTCTCCTGGCATTAACCCCCGGCACCAGCCGGGCACACCAGTGCAGGGACGTGGCTCTGCCCTGGGGAATTCCTATGGGAAAATGTTTTAAGGTGCCTTTTCCTCCAGGTGGGTTCTGCCCCAGGGAATTGCAGAGTTCCCTGGCAATCCCGATCTGGTGGGTGCTGTTGGTGTGAGCCCTCCAGCTGGCCGTGGGAAGACCCCGACCCTCGTGCAGCTGTGACATCCCCAGCTCCTGATGGCTGCCACCACCCTGGCAGAGCCACTGGCAAAACATCCCCAGTTTTGGTGCTTGGATTTGCCCATAGCCACAGCCAAGGATGCTGTAGGACTTGTCCCTGTCCCCACCCTCATCTTAATGGTAATGAACATCCCTGTCCCCATCCCCGTTCTCATCGCCTGTCCCCATCTCCATCCCCACCCCTATCCCTGTCCCTGTCCCCCATCTCCATCCCCATCCCTGTCCCTGTCCCCCATCACTGTGCCCATCCCCATCCCTGTCCCTGTCCCCCATCACTGTGCCCATCCCCATCCCTTTCCCTGTCCCCATTCCCATCCCTGCTTGACTTGACTGTGCCACTCCAGGTTCTCATTGCTCTCCTTCCCTCCTTGGCAGCTCATTCCCAACATTTACATCCAACCAAACCTGTGGCCACCACGGGTGTTTATTCCCCCTCTCCTGTGGGCTGGGGGCACCCAGGGGGTGTTCCCGTGGGCCCTGGGTGGGCACAGGGAGGGGCAGAGCTGAGGGCGCTCCCAGGGTTTGTCACTCCCTTGCATCCATCACCCTCCATAAATATTTATGGATGCATCAGGGCCCTCGGCTCCTTCCACTAAAAATAACATTCCTAAGCACCACGGGAAAAAAAAAATGCTGAAAACCACCCGTGACTGGGACTGGTGGTTTTGGGAGCCAGCGATGGCAGAGGAGCCCAGCGCGGGTCACCGGGGAGCTGCCACCCCCTGCTCCCTTATTTCCTTTGCTTTTAACCAACACTGGACCCAACTCCCGTGCTGGGAGTGGAGATGCAGCTCTCAGCCTGGCCATGCTCCTCCCCAGATTCCCTGCTGGGGACAGGAAAGCTCCCACAGCGGAAGAGCTGCTCCCAGCAAGGCCCGGAACGCCGGAGGTCGGTGGCCCATCACGGCCCCCTGGTCAGACACCCCTTCACCTGCACCCACCCCCGGGAGGACACACCTCACACCCCACTCGAAGGTGGGTTTTTGAGAGAGAATCCCCTTCATGCCACGCAGGAGGGACCCCGGGAGGGCCTGCACCCCTTTTTCCACGCACACGAGGAGGAAGGACCAGCGTGTGAGGCGACGGTGGCACCGCCCGGGAGGAGGTCGGGACGGAGCCGTGCACGGAGCGGGAACAGCCACCAGCAGTTTCCTTTCAGGTGTTTTTTTTTTTTGTTTTCTCAAGCCTCCCGTGACTCGCTGAGCCGGGTGGGACATGGTGTGGTCGTCGCTGGGGAACACGCCGAGGGAACATGCAATGGCCTGAGGGCAGGAGAGTCCTCCGGGTGTTCCGGGGAGAGCCCCCCGGGCGGCTGCGGGAGAGCCCTCCCGCTGGCTTTGGGAGGGCTGTGTCGGCAGCAGGTGGTGGAGATCGGTCACAGTTGCACACGATGGTGATGGATGGGCTGAACGTGCCTCTTCCCAAGGACGGGAGACGTCCCTCGATCGCGCAACCTCCGCGCCTGCGGCACCAGAAACACCCGTCAGCACCCACGGGGAGCAGAGCTCCAGCCCAGCCCCCTGGGGCAGAGCCACAGCCACGTGTCCCTGCTGGGACCTGGGCAAAAGGAGGCTCGGGGGGCACCTTTTCACTCTCTGGAACTCCCTGAGGGGAGGGGGGGTGTGGGGGTTTGGGCTCTGCTCCCAGGGAACAAGGGACAGCACAAGGGGGAACGGCCCCAAGCTGTGCCAGGGCAGGGTCAGGTTGGAGATATCTGGAACAATTCCTTCCTGGAAAGGGCTGTCCAGCCCTGGCACAGCTGCCCAGGGCAGGGTTGGAGTCCCCATCTCTGGTGGGATTTAAAAGCCCTGTGGATGTGGCACTTTGGGACAGGGATCAGGGGTGGCCTGGGCAGTGCTGGGGAATGGCTGGACTGGATGGTCTCAGAGCTTTTCCAACTCCAATGATTCCATGACTCTATGACCTCCTGAACCTTCTGGCTGGGGCTGTGCACCCCTGGGGCCATCCTGGAAAGCCTGGAGCAGACCCAGCTTGTGGCACCCACGAGAGTCCCCCTGACCCCAGAGCTCCTCACCTCGGACCCCAGAGAACCAGGAATCGTGAACTCCTAAGTCCCTGACACCTGGACACACAGGACTGGGAGCAACCTGAGGAATCAGAGAATCCCGGGATCACTGAGGTTGGAAAAGCCCTCCCAGCCCATGGATCCCCCCTGTGCCCCATCCCCACCTTGTCACTGAGTGCCACGGCCAGGCCTTCCTGGGACACCTCCAGGGCTGGGCACTCCAAACCTCCCTGGGCAGCCCCTGCCAGTGCCTGACCACCCTTTCCAGCAGGAAATTCTTCAAGGTGGAAGAGCCACCACAATTTAAAGAGTTGGTTTTGCTTTTCTTTTTTGTCCTTTCCCATTCTTTCAGGAGGATAAAGAAGCCTGAAAGTGTTTCCCCTCTCATTTTCTCAGTGGTCTCTAATTCAGAGCTTGTCAGCTGCTCCTGGGAGGTGCTGGAGGCCCTGCTGGAGCACCTCATCTCCACATCAGTGCTGAGGGGTGACAGGGTCACAGACATCCCTTTCTCCAGAGCCGTCAGGGTAGAGGGACGTGAAGAAAAGCCACACACTGGGGCCCAAACAGCTCCCTGTGCTGGCTCCCCCTCCAACACTATAATTTCACTCCTTCTTGAGTTACCAGATTGTTTCCCAGATGAGGCAGGACTTGAATTTCTAATGCAAAAACTGTTAGAAAGGCTCCCAAGCCCCTCTGGGGTTCTCTCCTTCCGCTGCTGAAGCGGCTGAAGACAGGAAGGGCAAATCCCCTTTTTTTCTCCTTTGCCAGTTGCCTGCACAGGACACTGGCGGGAACTGGTGGTGGGTTTATCCCAAATTGTGGTTGGATCCATCACTGATTCTCCTGGCCCATGACCACAGGGGGCTGGGGCTCAGTTAAAGATAAAATTCCTTCTCCCGCCTGGTTCCTACAACCACCCAACTACAGCGTGAGGGAAAAGGTCCCAGAGGAAGGTCCCCTCCTGCCCCTGCCCCTGTCCCTTTCTGGCCAATTCTAGGTGTGTCCATGGCAGGTTTTGTGCCAGGACCCCGCTTCCCAGCGGGAACGGGGAGTGATGGGAATGATGGCAAACATCCAGGGAGTGTGGAAACCCGAGCAGTGCCCTCCTAGGAGCGTTTCAGGTGGGAGAGATAAGGATCTGGTTCAGGTCTGTGGAGACATTGTCACACTTGTCACACAGAGCTCCGGCTCCCTCCCCTCCCGCCCTCGGCCCCTCTTGTCTGTCTGTCCGTCTGTTGGGCCTTGGTATAACCCAAAGCCCTGGCTCTCTGGGGGGAGAGATTGTGGGTTTGGTACGTCTGGACAGTGTCCATCACCACGGGGTCCCACATCCCCGCCGAGGCCTCTTCCTATGGAAGTGACACCAACAAAACTGGAGACAATGCTGCTCTCACTGGAGGTAACGGTGTTTTCCCACTTTGGGGAGACCTTGGAGCCCCTTCCAGAGCCTAAAGGGGCTCCAGGAGAGCTGGAGAGGGACTGGGGACAAGGCCTGGAGGGACAGGACACAGGGAATGGCTTCCCACTGCCAGAGGGCAGGGAGAGATGGGATATTGGGAAGGAATTCTTGGCTGTGAGGGTGGGGAGGCCCTGGCCCAGGTTGCCCAGAGAAGCTGTGGCTGCCTCTGGATCCCTGGAAGTGTCCAAGGCCAGGTTGGACGGGGCTTGGAGCAGCCTGGGCTGGTGGGAGGTGTCCCTGCCCATGGCAGGGGGTGGCACTGGATGGGCTTTGAGGTCCTTTTCAACCCAAACCATTCTGGGATTTATGAAAAACATCCTTTTGAACGTTGCAGAGCGATGGGCAGGTGGGACCGTTCCTGGTGCAGAAACAGGAGAGGAAGGACAGGAGAAGGAGGTGACAGGAGCTCAGACCTATGCACTGCTGGAGATGGGAAGAGAAATCCATCTGTCCTTACCTGAATTGCTGTCCAGCCTCAGCTGCCCTCCTAACCTGCAACACAGGGAAGGGCACGGTCAGGAAATGGATCATTTTATTTCCCATAAAATGAAGGATCTACTCCCCCACCTCTTATTCCTCCAAATTGGACTCCCCCAGAACTGTACACCTGGGGATACACAGCAAGTCCTCTGAAAGGCAAGTGGAAAAGTGCTGATCCCCAGAGCCCAGCAATCCCAGCATGGCCAGGGTGGGATTGTCCAGTCCCACCCCTCAGAGCAGGGTCAGCCCCACAGGCTGCTCAGGACCTTCTCCCTGAGGTTGTAGAGACCCCACAGCCTCTTGGAGCAACCTGTGCTTGACCACAGTCGGGGTAAAAAAGTACTTTTTATGTCCAAATAGAGTTTCCACGTGCCCATTGTCTCTCTTTCCCTTCCTTGGGCACCTTGGAGAAGGCTCTGCTTCAGTTTTCTTCAGTCTCTCCCACCAGTTACTTGCACACACTGATTTGATCCAAGTGTCTCCTTTATCACTGCCACAGGGCAGGTGCCTTCCATGGAATCCCAGAAGTTTGGGTGTGAAGGGACCTTAAAACTCATCCCGTTCCACCCCCTGCCATGGGCAGGGACACCTCCCACCAGCCCAGGTTGCTCCAAGCCCCGTCCAACCTGGCCTTGGGCACTTCCAGGGGCAGCCACAGCTTCTCTGGGCAGCCTGTGCCAGTGCTGAAATCCAACTTAAAACTGGATGTTTCCGTCTAGGAAATCTGATGGGGCAGCAAACTGTGCTTTTTCAGCAGTTTGAGCTGATCCCAGCTCTTTAGTCCCTTTTCCAGTGGTTTGAGGGTTATGAAATCCAAATGGTCAGTACAGGAAGGGACCAGCCCATGGAGAGTCTCAGGTGACACTGTCCTGGGGGAGAGGCAGCAGGACCCTGCACACAGGGACTGCAGGACAGCCCTGGCAGAGCTCCATCCCACCTGGAGCAAAGCCTGGCAGAGGGGAACGTGTGGACACGCAGTGCCAGGTCCCAAGCACGGTGGGAACGCCGAGGCTGAGGTGGCTTTGCCAGCTCCCAGCTGGGCTCTTCCGAGCCTGGAAAACTCACGGACGTCTCCGAAGACGTTGCTGAGTTCGTGATCCCAACCACAGACCACGGAGCCAACTTGGAGGCCTCCAGGATGATTTCATCCCCCCTGAAGCTGCACCAAGTGCGGGGACGTCACTGTCTCCAGCAGGGAAGAGAGGGCTGGGATTGATTATGGGGACACAGGGAAATAGGAAATAACTCCACAAAGAAACTTTTGAGGAAGCCCAGGGATGATGACGTCCCTAGGAATGGTTTTAAACGGAGAGAGGATCAATTTGGATTGGATATTGGAAAGAAATTCTTCCCTGTAAGGCCCTGCACAGGTTGCCCAGAGAAGCTGTGGCTGCCCCTGGATCCCTGGAAGTGTCCAAGGCCAGGTTGGACGGGGCTTGGAGCAGCCTGGGCTGGTGGAAGGTGTCCCTGCCCATGGCAGGGGTGGGACTGGATGAGCTTTAAGGTCCCTTCCCACCCAAACCATTCCATGATGATTCTCTGAAACCCCTCACAGCGGAGTTCCCATGAGGACCAGCATGTCCCTTGTCCATGTCTGCAGGAGGTGGGGAGTATGTGAGCTGCCAGGGATGTTTCTTTTTGCTCATTCCAGATGGGAGGGTGTTGCTGAGCCGGGGCTGCTGTGCCCGGGATGAAGCCCAGGCACAGCTCCCTGTGGGCACAGCTCAGAGTCCATGTGTCCACAGACCCCTGTAGGTAACGTGGGCTCTGGTACCACCCATCCCTGATGTACCCACACACCCCAGGCACTGACACCCCTCACCACGGGGTCTGGAGCAGCTCCCACGGTGCCCACGCCAGGGCTGCACTTACATATTGATTATTCCTCGATTTCTCTGCCAGGTTTTTACCTCACTGACTCTGGGACATTAAGAAATCACTTTTTCCCTGGCAGGGATAATATTTACATTCCACACGGAGGCTTTTGGATCCAGCTCTGCTTTTGGACACACGTCTCAGCCGTCCCTGCCCGGCTGCTGCGATGAGTAACGGAGCGGTTTGTGTTACATCTCTGCTCCCATACATCATATTCCAGCTCCTCAGAATCCCCCTTTCCCTATTTCCCATGCAAGGCACAATGCATATTTGGAAAAACCAGGCGGGTCATCTGGTAAGCATCTAAAATATTCCACTGAAGAGGAATGTTCTGGGGCAGAGAGGGTCCTGTGACCGGGAGCCAGGGAGATCCTGCTTTGGGAGCTCCCGTTTCAGCCAAAATCGAGCTTCCCGCGCTCCTTCCCACCGAGTTCAAACACTGCTGGGCAAAGGAACAGAGAGTTTCCAAACACCTGGATGCTCTGCAGAGCTCACTGGATGGGAAAACTCAGGGAAATGAGCTCTTTTGGGGAGAAACGTGAGATCTGCTGCCTCGGCGCAGCCTGAGGGGAACGTGCGCGTAACAAAATAGGGCTGAAAAGTCCCCGTTTGTTGACGCTGGAATTGGGTTTGGCTCAGGCCAGACAAATGCCTGGGCTGATTCAAACCCCTCCAAGGCTGTTCCTTGTGTCTGGGTCTGAAACATGGGAAGCAGAGGCCGAGTGAGCCCCGAGCGAGGTCCCGTCCCCGGGAGGAGCTCTGTGGGGCTTTGTGGGGCTCTGTGGGGGTTTGTGGGGCTCTGTGGGGCTTTGTGGGGCTCTGTGGGGGTTTGTGGAGCATGAGGTGGGGAGCAGACCCCGGCAGATCCCCCTCCATCCCCACCCTGCTCGGGGGTCAGAAAATCCCAAGGCCACAGTGATCACTCCCAGCTGGAATCACTCCTGTGCAATGTGCCGTGGATTCACTGGCACCAGAGATAAAGTCTGGGTGGATTGGTGTGGAGACCAGGGAGGGAGGGGTGACAGGGACCTCCAGTGACACTGATGGCACTGCCCATGTGGGATTGGGATTGGGCACAGGGATTCTGGACACTTGTCCAGCCAAGGTCACCGAGGGCAGGGGCTGGGCAGGTGACAGTGTCACCACTCAGAGACTTCACTGGTGACCCCCACACACACACTTTGGGTTCTGTCTGATCCCTACACCTGAGCTGGGCTTCCCACAGCACCTGGAGCAGCTCCTCCTCCTCCTCTCACACATTTCTGTGCGTGGTGACCTTTGCTGGAAGAAAAACATCCCTGAAAGCTGAACACACACAGCAAAGGGACCACGGCCATGATGTCAGCCCGTGGCAGAGGCTGGAGAGAGGGACAGTGACTGGAGCCATCAGGAAAACCTGTGCCATGGGGAGTCCTTCACCTGGAGCCACCTGCACCTGGAGCCATCCACCTGCACCTGGATCCATTGACCTGCATCCAGAGCCATCCACCTGCACCTGGATCCATTGACCTGCATCCAGAGCCATCCACCTGCACCTGGAGACCTCCACCTGCATCCAGTCATCCACCTGCACCTGGATCCATCCATCTGCATCCAGAGCCATCCACCTGCACC